TGTCACACCTACAGGAAGTGGTGGAAACTGAGGAGTAAAAATGAAGATTCCATATTGTCCTATAGCTTACACTGAGTGTTTTTATTGGGGGGGTTGCAACATAAGCAGGCCCTGCATTTTTACCAAGGTCTCCTTTAAAGCTGCACCAGCTAAATGCAGAGATGAAATAAATCAAAGCCGTTTTACCTGCCAAAGTATTAGTACTTCTGTCCATTCAGTTTTGAGATTTGCACAGCTCTGCCGCACAGCACAGTCTGGCAGGGCAGGAGACCTTATTTTTCTCTGATGCAAGTTAGTAACACTTACAGGTCATGTCCCTTCCCCTGCCCTCGTCTAAACAATGAAAGGAGAAGCAGAAGACTGATGAGCTCATCTCTCTCCTCCTATCACATGAACACTGCCGCACAACTGATTGGCTCATTATTCTGCTTCTCCTTCCCCCTTACACTGCTTGCAAGAAAAAAACAACCCCCGTTCTGCCCCACAAGGGTTAAATGCTCATTGTTGTCTAGAGTGCCCCAAAAAAACACTTTTACTCACCATTTTTCTTTTCTCTCGCTTGCATGTGACGGGTCCCTCGAAGCCTTTTCTCTGCAGCACTCCAGCCATCGGTCGCATCCGTGACATCATCACATATATTGCATGACCAATAGACCTGCATTGTGAGGACCCCAAGGGACCAGAGGCAAAAACAAGCATTTAACTCTAGGGGGTAGATTTGTAGGAGGAACATGGAGGAATGCATACCTGTCCTGTCCTTCAATAATACAAATCTGTATGTGCACACTAGTTCTAGGTCAGCATAACAGCCAGACAACTAGCATTTTCAGAAGGAGCTCAGCACTGGCAATCCTAGCATGCCTTTAAAGCCAGCCAGAACCAGTGTTGTCACCAAACAAGTCTTACTTGTGCAGCCAAGGCTTCTGCAATGATCTGTGCCCCTGTGACCGGACCCTCGGATGCCATGTTGACTACGGGATAAGTGAACCCTGCACTCACACCACCAGTGTCAGCAGCGACTTCCTCAGTACAGCCTGAACAGCCTATGGGTGAACTCGCTGCAGCCTAACTCCGCCCACACACTCCGTTCTCCCAGTCAAAGGAGGTGGAGGGCGTGTCGTTGTGTTCTATTGTAGAACGCAGTTTGGAGTCTTAGAATGACCCCGCCCCTTGTGTTTGATAGGAGGCGGGGCGCGGTCCAATGTCCAGAGAGAAGTGTGTCAGGGATGATCGGGTATGTGATGCCTGCGGCTGATGCTGATAGCGATCTTTATGTTCCAGTTCTGATATGAACTTGCTTTTCGCTCGGTATCAGTAGAGGGCCCCTGAACTCCCATGGCGGCTAAAGACGAGAGACCTGCATAGCAGTACCTATGGAATAACAGCAGGTCAGCGGATTGGGCGTAGCTTGTTTATGATAGGCGTGGTTTTAGGCTTCAGGTATAGAGAGGTATATAAAGTGGCTTCTTCTTATAATGCTACTTGCCTGGCTGTCATTGGCTCCCAGGCTTTGCAAATCTAGTGAGGGCTACGCGTCTTGTCTACATCTATTCTAGGTCCCTGAAGCTCTTGGATCGGAATGATAGACCGCCATCTCTCTTCAGTTTGCTCAGGTAACATTTCAACATGAGACAGAGAAGCTGATTGGTTGCAGTGCAAATCTGCTCCAGATTTGATAACCCCCCCCCC